TGGCAACCTTGGTAACAGGGAATATCTTTACCTATATATATATATATATATATATATATATATATTGTGCGTGTGTATGTCAACACACACCCACCAATTAGCTCACCCACCTCAATTCTACCTCTATTCTGACACATGTAAAAAAATCAGGGTTTTCCTAAAACTCCAGAGTAAAAAGTAAGTTTTTAAAATTCATATTAATGCTACACTGTTTGTTCTTACAGAACTGGACATGAAGTGAAGATGAATTGTTTTGCTTGTGTAGACAACCACATGATCTGCCTGCCCACTTCATTCCTACTCATCAAAATCTTCCAAAGCAGTTGGCAGTAAGTTATCAAGTAACACTGGAACTTTACTGATGCTGTTTTAACCTTGACAAAGTGCTGAATTAGCCTCTGGCACAGGAAGGCTGAGAGGTGATTTTTGACACTCTGCAGAAAAGTTCAATGTAATGTGTAAGTCAATATTTCTGTAGCAGGAAGTATATGTTTCAGTCAACATTTTAATCTCTGAAAAATTAAGGCTCAGCTATACATCACACAGAAGCATGTATAGCTGTATCCACCCATCTCTTCTCTCTTCCTCCCACTTCAAGAGCCCTAGTCCAACACTCAAACCACCATACCACATTAGCTCTCTAACTATATATGCAAATATATACAACTTCAGTCCAGGCTGTCTGAAGGAATGTATCTCCCTATGTGAGCCTGTCTGAGCTCCAAGATCTTTGGAGGAGGCCCTTCCTTCACTTCCACCACCTTCCCAGGCACATTTAATGAGAACAAGAGAGAAGGCCTTCTCAGTGGCTGCTCCCAGACTATTGAACTCCTTCCCTAAGGAAGCTAGGATGACACCCATCTTGCTGTTTGTCTGACCGCAAGTGTTTTTTTCTATTCTGTCAGGTTTTAGGAATTGACCACAATGAGCTTGTAATATTATGCTGTCTTGTTGATTTCAAATATGGTTTTGATAGAATAGATTCTTTAACTGCATTTTAAAATAACTTTAATGTATTTCTATTAATGTTATCACATGTATTTTAACCTATATTGATTTAATAGTTTGTAAACTGCCTTGAGACCCAACATTAAGAACGGGATACAAATGAATACAACAATGATAAATAATCATAGATACACAGTATGTCTCATCACAGGGGGAAAGGTGACGTGTGTGCCTGCTCTGTCTGATGCCTAAGAACTAAATATTGACCTGGAACTCCAAAACCCTTGTTACTAGTCTTGTTCTTTATGCCAGACAACCCTTCAAATAGATGTCTGCCCTCTGTTAAGCAAGACACTGGGTCACTGTAGGACCTGTTAAACTCAGTCACATGTTAAATCAGGAAAGTTGAATCGGTTCTTCTCGATTCAAGCTGAAGCGTGTTCAGAGGAGGGCGATCAAAATACTGAAAGGTCCAGAAACTATGCCCCATGAGGAGCAGCCTAGGGAGCTGTGTATGTTTAGCTGGGAGAAGAAAAGATTAAGAGGCAACTTGATAACCATGTTTAAATATTTGAAGGGTTGTCACATTGAGGATGGAGCAAGATTGCTTTCCTGCTGCTCCAGAGACTAGGACACAGAGCAATGGATTCAAGCTATAGGAAAAGGGATTCCACCACAACATTAGGAAGAACTTCCTGACAGTAAGAGCTGTTTGACAGTGGCATTTGCTGCCCCGAGAGTGGTAGAGTCTTCTTATTTGGAGGATTTTAAACAAGAGCTGAATGGCCACCTGTTGAGAGAACTTCGATTGTGTATTCCTACATTGCAGGGGGTTGGACTGCATGACCCTTCTGGTCTCTTCCAATTCTATGATTCTATTAATTCTTTTCCTTGGAAAACAGTCATTAAGACCACACAGCAATTTAAGAGCCACTATGTGTGTGTGTATTGTGTGCTTTCAAGTCATTTCCAACTTATGGCGACCCATGAGATTTTCTTGGCAAGATTTGTTCAGAGGAGGTTTGCCATTGCCTTTCCCTGAAGCTGAGAGCATGTGACTTGGCCAAGGTCACCCAGTGGGTTTTATTGCTGAGTAGGAATCAAAACCTGGTCTCCAGAGTCCTTGTCAAACCATTACACCATACTGGCTACTGAATAATGAATACTGTGTGGTGGAGATTCCTACATCTTCTGTAGTTCTCAAGAATGGGTATGTATGGAGAAAACAACGGGAAGCATTCACATTATCATTGCCTGTAGTTGGTCACATTGTTTTCTTCTGCCCCTGCTTGAATCGGGCTAATATTGAATGTCAACCAGCCACATCTGAAAGATTTGTAGGAATGGAAATCCCATAGGATTTGGGGAAAGACTGACATGTCAGGCGTGCAGTGAATGTTCTCCATATTTTCTTTCAGATTTGAAAGAAGTTATCCAAGGGCTAAAATTATATAGCCACACCCTGCTTATTGGACAGGTCAGGGACCAGAACACTGCAAAAAAGTAGAAATGGTTGAAAAGCAGAACCTAATTCATGGGTTGATATAAACAAGGTGACAGAGAAAAGAAAAGTCATGGAGTCAATGGGGGGTGAGGGTGGGAACGTATGGAGTCAAGTAAACTGAGAGGGGGAAAAGTTACAGACTCAATTGAGAGGGGAAAAAGCAGTGCATTGTTGCAAAACTGTTGTGAAAATACTGGCGAAAGAATGGATCATGCATTGAATATACAGTACTGGGTAGTAATTTAGAACAGATGAAAGACTAGGTCATCAAAAAGTGAGGCATCAAAAAGTGGTGGACACCTGCATAATGGACAGGGTTCGTCACTTCGGTTAGCTCCTTTAGAATATAGCCCAGAGAGGATTAATAGTACCCTAGCCTAGAAGACAAGAGCTGCTTCTGGTGATGTGCAGAATGGCTGTTTGCTTAAATGTGTGTGAATTGAGATGGCAGGGGATAACAATCAAAAGGTTATGTAAAACTAGCTCTTAAAATAAGACCAAAGGCCTTTGCAGACTGCCAGAAATAGTGCACATTAAACTGAGGCACTGCCCTGGCTCGGTGCTAGGGAATCATGGGAACTGTAATTTATTGTGGCACCAGAGCTCTCTGACAGAGAAGGCTCAATGTCTCAGAAAAAAATACAATTCCCATGACTCCCTAGCACTAAGCCAGGGCAGTGCCTCAATTTAATGTGCACTATTTCTGGCAGTCTGCAAAGGCCCCAAGTTGAGGGGACTGTTCAGAATGGAAAGCTGTAGTGCTGTAGTTCAGGTGAGGGGCCCAAAAAATCTGAAGTACTCATCAATTTGAGAGCAGTTAACAACAACAACTTCACCAGAGGACAAACCCCAGGATTCCATAGGACTGAGCCATGACAATTAAAGTAAAATCAAACTGCTATAATTGTGTAGTATGGATATGTCCTATATCTGTGTTACAATACTTTTATCATTCAATAAAAAGAACTTTAAAAAAAACTGTAAGGTGTTTGGACATTCAGAATGTCAGAGGACTTTGGTCAGAAGAGTTCTGAATACAAGTAGGGTGTTTCAGGTTGCTGTTTTGAATGCAATAGCAGAAGTGCCATCATCACCACCTTTTTTCCCCTATATGACAAAAAGAAGGAACTATTGCCAGTAGCACATTAAAAACAGGATGTGAAATACAAAGGATGTAATGTCAGTTTTCTCCCCAGGTATTTATCTGGCAAGATAGGTGACAAGACTGCATCAGTAGCACATGGAACAAATGAAATGCTATTCCTGACTTTTAAAGATTCCCTTATTATCTGCCAACAGCTGCTTGCATTACAATCTAACATAGATTTGGCTAGATGGCTAGTCATATGTTAACATCTCACTCCTTTGCTTTCCACACTTGGAGACCAGTGGCATAAATTCTAGAGCAGGTAGCCAGTGTCCTGTGTAGATTTTGTATTTTTAATTATGCTTTTGTAGAATATCAGATGTTCTTATTTATATTTGTGAAACACTAGGCTGGGCAAAATTCCATTAAGAAAAGAATGGAAAACAAGTATTAAGTGGAATTTGCCCACAGTGCTCTGAACTTAGCAAGAGAAGCCAAGATGCCTAAATAGTTGCAGACCACAAGCACACAAAAAGCTCTTTTGTTTTTATGGCTTGTGTGTTTTCCTGGATCAAGTTAGTGTGTTCTCCAGCATGCTTCAGATCAGGATCAAATTGTTAAAAATCAGCTTCATGATCAGCTGAAAGTTAATCCTCACCACATGATAACTTTTGCAAATTGCATCTACTGTGCATCTTACTTTAAAGGCAATAATGTGGAAAGTTGACAGATGACGTGAAGGTACACATGCACACATGCGATGTAAACAGGCAGAGACAATAATGACAAGACAACCTAAGGAAAGACATGAAAATTAATTCAGCTTCTCTTATTGAATAATTTAAGGCTAGGTAAACAGTTAACTAGAGAATGAGTCATAAAATACATAAAAAGGAAATGGATGGGGAAGAGAAAGTTGGCAAAAGAAAGCATGAAATCATAAACTTGTACACAATGTACTAAAGTCACACAGCAAAATCATAAAGAAAACATTCCTTAGATGGGAGGGGAGGAAAATATTTTTATACTCATAGCTCTACATTTTAGAAAGGTAGATCCACATATTGCGGGATTGGTATACATTCCTAGAGTGAAATGTAGGCTAAAATCCAGGCTAAAAATAGGAAGTCCTCACTAGAATACACCTAATGAGTCATGTATGGATCTTACATACATGTTGACTTACTAAGTTCTGCTTTAACTGACTTTTGTTATTTTACCTATTGTTTTGTATTTTAGATTGTACGCCTTTGGCAGGTTTTTATTCTATTTTATGCTTGATTGTCTCTTTGTACAGCGCTGTGTACATTGACAGTGCTTTAGAAATCAACTTCAATAATAATAATAATATAAGTTCCCATCGATTCAGTGGGTTGACTCTAGTCAGGACTACAGATTTGATGTTCAATTCATTGGGGCTTCTGAGAAGAAATATAAAGGGCTGTATTACCAGTGATGAGAGTCAGTGTGGCATAGTGGTTTAAATGTTGGACTACAGCTCTGGAGATAAGGGTTCAATTCCCTGCTCAGCCATGAAACCCACTAGCTGACCCTGGGCAAGTCACATGCTCTCAGCCACAGGGAAAGACAATGGCAAAACTCTTCTGACCAAATCTTGCCAAGAAACCCTCATGATAAGGTCACCTTAGGGTCACCATAAGTTAGAAACAAGTTGAAGGCACACAAGAACAACATTACCAGTGATACAAAGACATAATGGAATTTATTGCAGGCTGATAAATTTGTTTTGAGCAGCATACACAGCAGTGCCACTACTGAATGGAATCCAAAGTACATTGTTGCTCACTCATGGCAAATATCGTATTCAGCTGCCTGTCACCAAGTATACAGGATACAGGAAAAAGTCTGGGTATGCATATTGTGGCAAAAAAGCTTCATTAAAGCAAAGGATTTGCCATTCATGTACCTGACTTGTATTTTGAAATGCATCTAGTTCCTGGAAAATCAATGTCCTTTCTTTACTATAGAGAAAGAAATATTTTGCTTCTGTCTCTAGACAAGACATCTAGTCTTGTCCAGGGTAGAAATAAGAAAATTACACTGAATGGAAACTACTGTTTGGATTCCTGCCTCACCAAGCCATCATGGTTAAACTATAGAATTTGCTAGCACAGTTAAATAGTGATGGTTGCCAACTTGAGACAGCTTTAAAAGGAGGTTGGAGAAATTCATGGACGATGGGGCTATTGCTGACTACTGGGCAAGATGGATATGTATTGTGTCTAGTACCAAAAGTAGGATGACTATGTACGGTATATTAGTTGCTGGCAGACATAAAAAGGGGAGTGCTATTGAACCCAAGTGGGCATCCCATAGGCAACAAGTTGGCTACTGTTTGAACGTGGTCCTGTACTACATATTCCTTTGGTCTGATCCAGAATGAGACTTCCTATATTCTTAACCTAAGTGAACCATTTCCTGTCCATATAGGGCAGGGATGGAGATTGTGTGATTCTCAAGATATTGCAAGATTATCAGTCCCAGTAGCCCTAGCCAGCAAGTACATGGTGAGGGATATTAGGTTATGCCATGTAACAACATCTAACAATATTTCCTATCCCTACTGTAAAATGCCTCACAGTTATCTAATGATTGGATCTCCAAATTATAATGTGAACTGAATCTTAACATTATCCTTCCATTGTGACATATAAGGAATATACCTGGTCTATATCAAATCTTCATAAAATACAACACATGGGTATTGCCACTGTGTATACTAATCAGGGGCCAGTGTCATTGTTACTTACCTGGCTGCCTGGAACCCACTAATGACAGTGAGCCTCCTCCTTCTTAACAATATTTTCCTCTGTTCCAATGCTGGAAAATGGGAAATGTGTGTATTTTGGGAAATCCCTTCTTCAAGAGATAATTCTTCTGTTTCACTTTTTCTGTTGTTGTAGCCAGAGTTTCTAGCATTCAATGCTAAGGTTCAATTTCACCCAAAGAAACACGTCAGCAGAACAGATTAAGAAGCCTTTTTTACAACAGCACGGCTTAACATATGCTTTATTCTACAAGAAGAGCGGAGTACATCTCCCACTTTCCTGCATCCCATGGTGTTCTTTCCCTTCAACCTTCTCTCTGGTCCAATGACCTGAGTCACGCAGTATGATATTTATTCCCAATGTGTGCTCCCAATAGTTGCTTTCAAAAATCTCATCTGTTGTTCTCTGGCTCCATCAGCTTTGTTCAGAGACAAATTATCCAAGGTGTATATACCCAATTTATACATATGTAACTCTGGTCTGAAAGTGTTGCCCTTCCAGTGCTTAATCTATTCTAGATAGTTCAAAGATCCAGTGCCTTTTTCTGCAGTTTCTTGTATCTCCTATTTGTTTATTTACTTATATATTTTGTATCTTGCCTTTCTCCCAAAAAGGGACTCAAGGCAGTTTACAAAAAGTTAACAACTAGATACAATTAAAAACCTAATGATACAAAATACATAATTAAATATCATGTTAAAATGTCCATAATTTACAACAGTATAAAATATTTAAAAGACATAAACATAAAATTAAAATATAGCACATGCACCACATTTGAAAAACAAACCCTTCTGCACCCACAGTTACTGTAATCTCCAAATGCTGGTTTAAAAAGAGAAATGTCTTTACCTGTCTGAAAAAGAAAAGCAGAGAGGGAAACACAATAAGAAAAAATTCCACAGCCAAGGAGCAATCACCCAAAGATTTTTTCATGTGTCTTCACCAGACAGGCCTGTGACAATAGTGGAATTGTGAGAAAGCCCTTTGTTGAAAATTTTACAACTTGGGCAGGCTTGTATAGGGAGATACGGGCTGTGTATACACTGCAGAAATAATCCAGGTTGACACCACTTTAACTGCCATAGCTCAATGCTATGGGATTCTGGGAATTGTAGTTTTGTGAGATGTTTAGCATTCTCTGTTAGAGGGCTCTGGTACCACAACAAGCTACAATTCCCAGAATTCCATAGCACTGAACCATGGCAATTAAAGTGGTGTCAACCTGGATTATTTCTGTTGTGTGGATGCAGCCATGGCTTTTCAGATAATCTGGATCTAAACCACACATACCTCATTTCTCTTGCTGAGAACTAAACTGTCACTACCTTAGAAAAATAACACCTCCTGTCACTGATTATATGGCCATGTCTCAGTAATAACGTTGATGTATTGTTATTTGTTGACAGCTGTCCCAACTTTCAGTTGGTTTCACCTTTATCTGACTGATAGGAAAGCTGATTTTTAAATACAAACTATACAAATACATACATGACTGAACCTGCATTACTTTCATGTGTCAGGAAATGCACCACTAGATTTAAAAACTGATGCAAGAATTATCTAATTATTAAATATTTCAGTGTTACCAACAGCTAATTAAGATGGTACATTAAATTGTTTTGTGTACATAATCTTCTGCATGCTTGAGATTAATATCCATAATAGCTGTAAATACAATGGAGTCATCATAGATAGTGATCACGGCTAAATCATTAGTCAGAATATTGGCACAGTAAGCTACTGCCAAACAAGGAGAGAAAAGTAGTAAGAGCTAAGAGAGAGGCTCAACACAAAGCATTAATGTTTTTGCATAAATCAATGGTGCACTCACTTCCTGAGAACAGGAGTTGTTACTTCATATTGAAAAATTAGTATACGAATACTGAAAAATGACAAAGAAATGTATACATACTATTGGGATTATGAAGCAGTTGCTATATGAGAACTAGCTAAAACACTAGGAATTTTCAGAAGGAGAAAGAAGGTAAGACAGAATTCTGTTTATTTTGAATAATATAAGGAGAAAACATATTTATTTTGTACTGGTTTTAAGCATCACACAATAATTTTTTCATATAGTATACAACTTTGTTGTTGTTGTGTGATTTCAGGACATGTCCAGCTTATGGCGACCCTAAGGTGGGGTTTTCATGGGGTTTTCTTAAACACCTCGAAGGCACCAGATCCCATCTGATCTTGAAAGCTAAGCAGAATCAGGCCTGGCTAACAGTTGGTGTTGTAGGCTATGTTTCAGACAAAGACGATGGCAAACCACCTCTTGAATACTCCCTCCTTAAAAGAAATCAGTGAAAGTCATGGATTTGCCATACTCCAGCAGAAGACTTGAAGGTACTTTCTAAATGTATACAGCTAACCTACAAAACTCAGTGCTACAAGATAAGTGGGGGCCATATACTATGAAAAGTTTGTTACAGGATGAATTTTATGCAAGATTGAGGTACAATTAATTGGGATACAAGCAACAATTAAATCATAAATTGACATTTGTTGTGTGCTTTCAAGTTCTTTCAAATTTATGGTGACCCTAAGGCAAACCTATCACAGGTTTTTCTTGGCAAGAATTGTTCAGAGGGGGTTTGCTTTTGCCTTCCTCTGAGACTGAGAGACTGTGACTTCCCAAGGTCACTCAGTAGGTTTCCATGGTTGGACTGAGATTTGAAACATGGTCTCCAGAGTCGTAGTCCAACACTCAAACCACTACACCATGCTGGCGCTCATACATTCACAGACTAAATGGAAAAGAGATGCACCATAGATCACAGGCATAATGATTACACAAAGCCACTAAATAGTACACACATGGCTTCCTATTTCACATATGAATGTTAGTATGTTCATAAATAAAAAGGCTGCGATCCTGTACTTGGGATTGAGCCACAATGAACAAAATGGCACTTGTTACTGATTACAGTGTTAAAATGTTGTAAGTCAGGAGTGAGACTTGTGCAGCCTTCCAGATACTACTGGTAGTTCCTTCATATTTGCCTTTCCAAGTCATGGCTTTCTTCTGATTTTTTCCCTATAATCTCTATTTCAATTAATGACTGAACCAAAGTACAGAAAATCTTTTAACTATTTAAAGTTCATCACTTACCTTAAAGTTATGTAAATAAACTGTGACAGTAATTTTTGTTTTTTTCAACAGTACCTCTGTTTTTGGACTTTCTTCTCTAGCTGTCATCAGTAGTTGTTTCAAGTCTTTGTTATCTTCTGTTGCTAATATGGTGTCATATGCATACTTTTTATTGTTGATATTCCTTCCCCCAGTTTTCATTCCATTGTATACACTCCTGAGCAGACATACATAGAACTGAACTGTATTTTATACGCTTGCTTGTGAATGCTCAAATCTGTAAAAATTCTATCTGGCCTCATCCTATCTTAGCTCACCACAGGATTGGAAGGCAACTCCAGTCCCCTTCCAAGCTAGAATTGAGTCCAATTGTGCTTTCAATTTGTTTCCACCTTATGGCAACCCTATCACAGAGTTTTCTGGGGCTGAGAGTATGTGACTTGGCCAGTGGGTTTCCATGGCCAAGCATGGAATCAAACCCTGATCTTCAGTCATAGTCAAAACACTCCAACATGCTGGCTCTCAATTGGACCCAAAGTTTGGTTTATAAAAATCTAGAGGAGTGCTTCTCACAGCATCTGATATAGGAGACCAGCAATTACTATTTTCCAGTGTTCCAGGGACTGGAAGTAAGTTTTTGACTATTG